GGTCTATGATTATTGCTAGCGTTATCATGGTTATTCTGTATTACAGTGACATTTACTTTTCATATATTTTGAACAAATTGTTATGTAACAAGTTCTATTTTTATTTCTGTTTGACATGTTGTATTCTATCTGAAATTGTTTTTATGACATTGGCATTCTTCCATAGATTTTAGCGTCAAAGGTGATGATCCGACCGATTCCGGATCAGAGAGTTAAATTCACTAAAGGATATCCGGTTTCAAGTCGAAGAAAACATGCTCTGAGGTATGTACAGAAACATTTGCATGGAAAATATGAGTAAATGTGGTGTTATGTTAACCAGTGTTCGTTTTAACGTGTGCAGTTGGTAGATCCAATACGAAACAAGGTGCTTCATTTCACTCGCATGGATAAAGTCATCATTTTAAGCCATTGTTTTTACCGTTGTCATCTTCAATGAAACTATATCAAGAAATTCTGTACTCACCATGTTGCGCCGTTCCCGCGTTTTACCATGAAAAGCGTGTAAAGCAAAAAGTAGGTAAAAATAGCTACCTGAAGTAGCTTTAAATACCTAGGTAGCTATTAATAGCTACGTAGGTAGAAATAGTCTTTGGACTGGACCTGATAAAGGAGAAATTTGAAAACCACGTGAAACCGAAGTCGAATCGTGTTTATTCGAGATACAAGTTCCTCAGTAGGACACAAAAGGAGGGAGAAACGTTTGAAAAATTTCTGACAGATCTCAGACTTTTAGTGAAAGAATGCGGATATAAGGATCAGGACGATATGATTCGAGACGCCATCGTGTTCGGTACCCGGGATCACAAGGTACGTGAAAAATGCATTGGTGAGGGTTCGGACTTGACCCTGGAGAAAGCTATGAACTTTGCGCGTACATGTGAAATTTCTAAGCAGCAAATACAGACTATGGAAGACAAATCGGTACATGGAATATCGAAAGGTAGGACTCCCCCAAACCGGAAGTCAGCACCGACTAAAAGCGAAAGTGAAAGTAAGAAATCGATGGTGAAAGACTGTAAATATTGTGGCCAAACTCATGAGTTTAAGCGATGTCCTGCATATGGTGAAACATGTAGAAAGTGTGGAAATCCAAACCACTTTGCAGTTAAGTGTCACTTAGGAAAAAAGCGTGCTGTCGCTAGTTCGAAGAAAAACAATAGATCAAAGACTATGCATGCAGTAGACACATCAGATGAAGAATTCTTTATTGGTTCAGTGAATGTTAATGGTGAAAATCATGATGTAGAATGGTATGAAACAGTGAAGGTGAAGGACACTAATATTCACTTCCAACTTGACACTGGAGCAAAGTGTAATGTTTTGTCATCAGCTGATCTCAAGAAAATAGACAAAAATTTGAAAGTTACACCAACCTTTTCACCACTGAAGTCATTCTCTGGACACTACATTCGTTGTTCTGGTACTGTTATACTACCCTGTGTATGGAAGGGTGCAATGCTGCCATATGTGAAATTCTACATTATTGACCAAACTGTGAACCCTGTTCTGGGAGCTGACACATGTTCCAAGCTAGGACTCGTTCAGCGAATACACAGCATTGTGAGGAAAAACCGTACTGTACCACATGGCATTCCCCAGGATTATCAGGACTTATTCAGTGGACTTGGATGCTTACCAGGCACATACTCAATCAAGGTGGATGAAAACATTCAGCCAGTGATACATCCTCCACGCAAGATTCCCATAGCCTTGAGGGACAAGGTCAAGGAAGAGCTCGACAGAATGGAGCGTGAAGGAGTGATTGTGAAGCAACGCGAGCCGACGAAATGGGTCAACTCCATGGTAACTGTTACGAAGCCAAATGGAAAGATCAGGATTTGCATTGATCCTCGTGACCTAAACCGTGCCATACTTCGGGAACATTTTCCCTTAAAAACTGTTGAAGAAGTTGCAGCTAGGATGTCTGGAGCCAAGATTTTCAGCAAATTAGATGCCACCTCTGGATTTTGGCAGACCAAACTAGATGACGAGAGTTCGAAACTCTGCACATTTAGTTCTCCGTTTGGACGTTATCAATTCACTCGAATGCCCTTTGGAATCAAGTCCGCACCTGAAGTGTTTCAACGTGCCATATCTGAAATGATTCAGGATCTCGATGGAACAGAGGCGATTATTGATGACATTATTGTATGGGGAACCACAGAAGTTGAACATGACAAACGTTTGAAAGCCTTACTGGATCGAGCAAGACAACATAACTTGAAGCTCAGCGTGGACAAGTGTGAGATCAGACGCTCAGAGCTGACGTACGTGGGACACAGATTTACTGACTCGGGTCTGAAACCCGATCCCGAAAAAGTCCGTGCTGTACAGGAAATGGACCGTCCCAATAATGTGAAAGACTTGCAAACATTTATGGGCTTTGTTCAATACTTAGGGAAGTTTATGCCCAATCTATCGGAAGTTGGCAGTCCATTACGACAGCTACTGGAGAAAAACACTCTATGGAAATGGGAAAGTGAACAGGAAAAAAGCTATGAGAAATTGAAACGCATGACTACTAGTGCACCGATCCTTCAGTACTTTGATCCAAACAAGCCAATGATGTTGTCCGTAGATGCCAGTTCTAAAGGACTAGGTGCAGTGTTGATTCAGGAAGATAAGCCAGTTGCGTACGGATCACGCGCACTGACCGAAACACAACAACGATATTCTCAGATTGAGAAAGAAACTCTGGCTATTCTCTATGGATGTACAAAATTCCATGATTACGTATATGGTCACAGTGTACTGGTTGAATCGGACCATAAGCCTTTGGAAAGTATCTTCAAGAAACCTGTTCTATCTTCACCTCCAAGACTACAAAGATTCGTGTTAGCGCTTGAAAAGTATGACATTCAAGTAGTTTACAAACCTGGAAAGAAAATGTTCTTGGCTGATCATTTGAGTCGCTCCTATCTGAAAGAGACTAAGGAAGCCCTCGTACCAGATCTACAAGTGAACGAAATACATCTTACTTCATACTTACCTGTGTCACAGGAAGTGCAGGACAGGATCCGGAAGGAAACCGGTCAAGATGACGAGTTACAGCAACTCTTGGACACTATCTTGGATGGATGGCCAAACAACAAAGCAGACCTAGCACCGGAAATTAGAGCCTACTGGAATTTCCGTGATGAACTTTCATGCATTGATGGTATTCTCTACAAGTCTCACAAACTGATTGTCCCAAAGTCGATGCAGAATGAAATGCTGGAGAAGCTACATATTGGACACCAAGGAATTGTGAAGACCAAAAACCGAGCGAGAGACATTCTCTTTTGGAACGGTATGGGAAAAGACATAGAGAACCTCGTGAGCGCATGTGCAACTTGTGCCAAATATCAGGCTGCTAATCCTAAGGAACCAATGATCCCAAGCGAACTTCCATCAAGACCGTGGTCAAAGATTGGAATGGATCTGTTTGAACTTAGTGGAAACCATTACTTACTGGTAGTTGATTATTTATCGAAGTGGCCCGAACTTGCCAAACTGGAGTCACTCACCTCTAAGTGCGTGATCACTCATTTGAAAAGCATGATTTCCAAATATGGAATTCCGGATATCATAATTAGTGATAATGGACCACAATTTAGTAGTTATGAGTTCAAGGAGTTTGTGAAATCATATTACATCACACATACCACAACCAGTCCGTACCATGCTCAGAGTAATGGACAGACAGAGCGAATGGTTCAGACCATGAAACGTCTTATTACCAAATCTCAAGATCCATACTTAGCTCTTTTGGAGTATCGGAACACCAAGATTGATGGTATTGATATGTCACCTGCTCAGCTATTTTTAGGACGCAGACTGAAGTCTATCTTACCTACAGCAATCCCTCTACTGAAATCTTGGGTAGATGACAACACATTGGTCAGGATGAAATGTCGACAGGAAAAACAGGAGGAGAACTTTAACAGACATGCTAAAAAGGAACCACTTAAACCTCTCAAGGCAGGAGACTCCGTAATGATGCAGAGCCAATCAGGACAATGGACAAGCGGATTCGTTAAAGACTTACACCCTACAAAACGTTCGTATGTCATCGAGAGCAAAGAACGATGCTACAGACGTAACCGCAAATTCCTGAGACCTACTCGTGTCCGAGGTAACTCAGTCTCCAGAGATGATGTCCCTGTGTATACCGATGCGACATTGCGTTCTAAGACCAATCAGAGCACCAATGATATATCAGCAGCTTCAGATGTGCAACCAAATACCGTCACCGAGACAGCTAGATCTGACGTCGAACCACCAGCCGAAAACCCTGCGCATTTTACCCGTAGTGGCCGCTGTGTTAAACTCCCTGCACGATACCGAGAATGAACACTGTTAATCTTAATTGAACACTGAATTAATATTTCATCAAATTTATTTTGTGTTACAGTTTACTATGTACTTTAATTATCTTAAATTTAATGTCCATGGAAGTATCAAATTTTGTAAGGGGAAGGATGTAATGTATGTTCTAATTTTATTAAGAGTTACTGTTCTTGAATTTAAGCTCTCCTGTAAAAGAAGGTAATTAAATCAGTTCTTAACCCACAATGGTGTTGTGAATACACTACATGAACCAAGTCTACTGTGGCTATTGAACATCACATAGGGTTACCCTATGTGATTCTGAACCAAGTCTACTGTGGCTATTGAACATCACATAGGGTTACCCTATGTGATTCTGAACCAAGTCTACTGTGGCTATTGAACATCACATATGGTAAAAACAGACTATAGGAACTCTTTTATTCGAGGAGGTAAACAATTTCGTCACGGGAGCCATATTCCGAACGGAGGTTTCAGTGAATATTTTTATTTTGGTATTTACATGCCTAAACGGTAAGCTATGTAGAAATTATAGTGACAGAGAGTCAAATAAACATCTAAATGACTTAATTGAAGCGAACAGCAGTGTGGTCAAGGTGAATAATTCTTGCTACAGTCGACCGAAGTTGGGACTTAATCTCCAGACATGAATTATGAGTGACTGTCCATGGGTTATGCGACGGCGTCAGTCCAAATATCTAGCCCACCAGAATCTCAACAGGGATTACTTTGGATATTGATGCAGTTTATGCATTAGAAATGTCCATGGACAATTAAAATCGGTTACTAGTACTTTTCTTTACCATGTATTGAATTAGCCCGAGTTGCAACGGGCAGAAAAACCTATCTCATTTAGAATATGAAAAAAATATCTTTTTATATGAAAATTCTTCAATATACACATTTGATACACACTAGAACATGCACATTTTAAAATTATATTTATTATATACTTTTATATGTCATCTTCGGTGGCCAAGGATTTCCGATCCAAAATCTACTCTACAAGTAGAGTAGCTTTCGGATCGGAAACTATTGGCTAGCGAAGATGACATATATGTAGACTCAACCCAGGTTCAAACTTTTACGGAAAATGATTGTCCACAAACCCTATTGTTCTTTTATGTTGGCATTTAAAAAGTTTTATTACCTTTTTCAGGAAAATATTGTAGAAGTTTGACTTATATTTTGGGGAAATTAGTGTACACACTAGGCCGTCTGGAAGCGTGTGCAAAAGCCCGTGACCGCGATTGATCAAATATATTTGGAAGTGTAACTCTCGCAGAGTAGAGAAATATGGCGGACACCGCTTTGCTCGTTGCGTATAATAGGTTTATGACTTTGCACGATAGCTTTAAACTCGCTTTGATATCTAAAACTTTACAATGCCATGAACAGCGGCTTAGCGGCTTTCAATGAATGTAATATTCCAAGTGGATTGAGGGAGATCCTCGCTTGATTGTCCCAGCATATTTTACTTTTGGGAGTTCAGTATCTATAATACATGATCAACGTCATTTTTTGACGTGATTGATTATTCACACCTTGACTACATAACTGATAATGAGGTCCCTTCGAAAAACCTTCGATGAATCCAGTGTTCATCAAAGTTAACTAAATTATCAAATGTCAAATTAAATGGGGAACTTGTATGAATCGGCCGAAGTTTGCTATACCGAGCGTGATGAAGTATCTCAAACGATGCTACCGGGTTAATGACAAAAATAAATTATAAATTTATGCTTGTAAAAAATCTGATACTTAATCTAAATCACAACCTCTAACACCAACCACACCCCCCTGATTCAATACAGTACTACCCAATGTAAACTACCCATGTGGAACGCTTTGCTAGGATCAAACAGAGTTGATACACTTTATTGTCAGGAAATTCAAATTTGAAAGCATATCCTTATATAAATTTTGGTGAGTGACTCTGAGTGATGTCCTTTGGACAGATTCTAACAGGGATGTATACTGATGCAGTATATATCAGAAGACTGAAGTAAAACATCTGATGTTTTGAACGTCCGTGTTTAACTTTCTCCCCATTCGTATTGTTTACTTGTACTTTGGGCTTGAATTCCCTTCGTTATCTCAATATATGATTTTATTAATAAATAAAGTTATGATATACATATGATTATGGACAGAGTATGTTTTGTGTTGTTTAAAGGGGTGTATTGTATTGTAACCAAACAAGGAGAAGCTTTTCTTATTTTAACGCACCTGATTTTATTTCATAAAACCTCATTTTATATTTGAAAATAAACAAGCAAATATTGACATTTTCATGCATGTAAAATGAAATATATGTTCTATATTGATTTTGTTACACAATTTTCACAACCTTATAATTCCTGAAACATTAATTTATTTGAATACTCAAAGAATGTGAAGTTGTTCTAAATTTTATTAAGTACTTTCTTTCATTTAAACATAAATGTCAAGGCCATCTTTGACAGCTCATTCTTTATCAATCAAGCTTGACAGCTCATATCAAAGAAGTTGCCATTACATGCATTTGCAACCATGTTTTCATAATATTCTTTCATAATACAATTCTTTAAACAAATCAAAAAACTTTTTAACATCCAGTCAATATCGTGTTAAACCATTGTCTTTAACTTTCCTCCTGTTTGCTCTTGATTTGTATTGTTTTATGGACTTTTGATCTTGAATACAGTTCGTTATCTCCATATGTTTCACTCAATATAATTTATTTTCTCCACCAATGACTCTACACTTTTTCCTAAAACGTAAAATAAACGTAATTGTCGTAAATGACCATTTATTACAATACCACATAAATTAAACCAAAAAAAAAACCATACAACAGTTGCACATGTCCGCATTTGAATGTATTTTTAAGAGAGATTTTAATGTACATTAAAAACAGATATGGCTTTAAAAAAATGACAAAAAAGAGGGAACAACCCTTCAAAAACACATCACACTTTTTATTACCGTAAATTTATATTATATAAAAAATGCCCCGTCCAGAGGTGCCAAATGGGAGATACGAAGACCTAACCTCACAAATACCTGGTACATAGAGCAAGGAGGAGAGCAACAGAAGCATCAGATAGCATGGTCTGGAGATTAACAATTATCAAGTGATAAGAACAAGGTACATCTATTGCAAAATATGCCCGGTATTATACATCCGAGAAAAATTCTCAAGTAAATGTAACAGTCAATAACAAAGATGCTAGAAATTGATTTCTTTCTGTTACATATGAAATTAAAACAATTGTGACACCTTCAAGAATATTGCTTCACTGTTTTGTAAAACGTTAGATGAAATACACAAACTCTGTACGAAGCTGTTTTTCACACTTACAATACATGCATATACCTGAGGAACATTATTTTACACTACTTTTCTTTTAAGGTGGTGATAAGTTAGGCATATTGTAAGGGGCACACTTCAACCTGTACTCTTGTTTCAGTTTGTCGCAGTATGTCCTATTCCAACACATGATTAATAATTTCAGATGATACCGTGGCTCCGACATTCTCCAAATATAAAATACAGGATTGATTGCACTATTCAGACATAATAATATTGCACATAAGGAATGCACGGTGTTACCAAATGCTGAACTGTAATCCAGGATAGGAAACGTCATGATGACGTAATAAGGTGTAGCAGTGACCAAAAATGTAACCGTGATGACGGACACTTTCTTGGCGATTCGAGATTGCCCGTTTGTGATACCGGGAAACGTGGACGATATATCCCCCGTCCTTCTTGTGATTTTACGGATATGGTGTAATAAGAAAATGTACATGATGCCGTTAGATAATATAATGGACAAAAGAAGAATTTTGGTGGTTTGGCTGACATTGTTTTTCTTTAACTCAAACATATAGAAACAACCGATTTTATAAGGGTCATTTTCGCTGTAAAAGATGAAGAATGTAGTTATTCCTCCCATAATCCATAATATCACGCAAAGAAAAGTCAACCGATTTTTTTTCACGTATTTATAATACTTCATACCCAAAACAAAGACCAAGCAGCGGTCAATGTTATACATTGTCACAGTAAATAAGGACACGTTGATGCACAAAAATGCTACATACTTTTTAAATTCACAGTTATTTCCATATTCGTAAACGGAAAGAGGAAAACACACAAAAATACCCATAGAAATGTCGGATATAACTAAATTCATTGACAGAATTTTGACTTGGAAATTAAGTCTTTTACATTGGTATAAAATGACCAAGGCGATCAGATTTTCTAAAACAATTGTTCCTCCAACAGGGATGAGCATTCCGTCGGTAACTAATGGCCGTGACACATGCTTGTTACCTAATGTTAAATTATTGTTCGTCTCCATTCTGAAGTAATCCACTGAACAGGTTATTTCTTAGATTGGCTGTTATATACTAGCATTCAGTGTCATCTTATGTCACCTAATATACTGACTGCTTTATCGTCTCAAAATAACCTTTTATATTCCCAGATATTATCACATATATCTTTTTTAATTGGAAACAGAAAAGATAGAAAGCAGAAGCTAATTATAACCTGGTTTGTTTCTCTTCGATCATTAGAGTTTATACTATTTAGTCTCATTGATTGGTAGATTTTTTTTAACAAAGATATGCAAAAATATGATGTTTGTGATCTTTGATGCTTTATTTCCTTTTTAGGTAATCTGAGTCACTCAAGTGACCTATTGCTATCTGTTTTGTCTGTCATGCGTTTACATTTGAACATTTCCAGCTTCTTCTTTGAAACCACTCAACTAATTTTAACCATTTTAGGCGTATAGCAGGGAAACAAGAAATGGTCCCTGCCCTCTCCCCAGGGGGTGAGGGATGGGGTCAAGACCACTAAAATCAACATAACATTTAAAAATTTTCTTCTTTACTCCTGAACATGTTGGCATAATTGTAACAAGCATTGAATATATTGCCGAAATAATGATATTCATTACTTCTGGTTCAGGGATTCTAGCCCTAGGGCGGGGTTATATAGATTATATAGT